CCTTGCCAAAACAGCAGAGGTGCTTTTGCAGTTGTACAAATTAATCTGAGTGAAGCTTATCTCGATAGGAGCCATATTAATGCTCCATCGCACACTGCGCTTCGTCAGTTCCCTTCACCTCAGATCCACCAGCGTTCTTTCGGTCCACTACCTTAAAGGTAACCTTCCCTACGCCCGCCAGTAGCCTGAAGCTCCGGTTTTTTAGGGTTTTTACGGATGGTTCATCTAGCCCTAAAATCAGTTCTCCGTCAGAGGCCTGATTAAGGACCGCCCATCTAGTGGTATCCACCCCCCCATTCTGCTTCCGGATCAGTGTGATGAGCTTCGTCGCATTCTTTACCCCTGAGGGTAGCCTAGCCATCACCTTGCTAACTGTGACCTCCTCTGGATCTACTACCCGTACCTTAAGTTCTGGTATCCAAATAATCCGCCATTCCTTTCAACCATTCCCCTGACTCCTTGTCCTCGCAGACAAAGACCAGGGTTCCCTTTCTAAGGAATGTTTCCGCAAAACGAGGTACAAATGCCCCCTATTCCACCGCGATAACCCGTTCGACCACCGACCTCTTTATCGCGTCACCTATCTCTACCGGCATCTCAGCCTCAAGGTATTTCCCACAGGTCAGGATCACCTTTGGAAGCGTCGATGTTATTCCCGCGTAGCTGCCTATTTTCCTTTTCTTGAGCGGTTTCATGCACGGCTCACTAGAATCTAGGCTATTGGAGGCTGCCCTCTTCCCATCTGCTGAGGAGATCGCATCGTCCAAGGGTTTCGAGGCGTTTCCAAGCCGCCTCTGTTCCCTCTTCTTCTGCTTCCTCTTCTCACCAAACTTGGGTACAGGTCTCCCCTCCTCTATAGCCTTCTGCTTCAAGAGTTTCCTTCGCTGAGCCCCAATTAGGTTTCGGTTATGGCCCGTCCCTGTGCAGTTCGTCAGTGAAGTCGGATCTACTGGATTTTTACCTTCCGTTGTGGTATCGTTGGGTTCAGGGTCCCCAGCCGTTACCACACCGTCTTTATTTTTATTGTCTTTATTCGTGTCCATTTGATTCCCACGAGTAATGCGGATCCATATAGTCCGCCCGACTGGTCCGCTATGCCGGGTAAGGCTAGATTACAACGGGGTTTCGCCCGGTGCCCCGAGGGAAAAAGGGTGAATTTCCTGATGTAGATATAGGGCCTGAATTGTTTACAGGATTCTACTACAGCTAATAATTCTTTTTTTGTAGTACTGTAATTTCTTTCAGATATATTAAGGGTACAAGAGTTGAAAGCTCTGGGGTGTCCTTCTTGGGAAATAACTGAAGCTATCGCTTTATCAGTAGCGTCGGTGGTAATAGAAATTCTTTTGTCGAAATCGGGCCAAATAGAACAGGGGCGTTTGTAATTGGTTCATTAATTATTTTTCTTTAAACATCTCATAACTGGAATGACAATTTTGGAATAATCCTTTATAAATTTACAGTAGTAGCCACTTAAGCCTAAAAATGATTTAAGTTTTTTTACTGTTTTTGGGACTAAAAATTTGTTAATAGGAGTAATTTTTTTGGGGTTAGGTTTAATTCCTTCGGTGGTGATTACATGTCCTAAAAAGGGAAATTGTTTTCTTAAAAGTTCAGATTTGTCTAAAGATACTTTTATATTTACGTCTTTTGGTCTTTGAGAAGCTTGGTTTTGATGTATTATATGTTCGTGTAATGATTTTGAAAATATTAAGATGTCGTCCTTGTAAACAAAAGCAAATTTGTACCAAAAATTAACGTAGTACAGTGTCTATCATTCGTTGGAATGAGTCCAAACGTCATACGTACGTACTCGCAATGACCGTTGTTAATGGAAAAAGCAGTTTTTTCAGTACTGTCTTTGTGAAATGGAATTTGTAAGAAGCCGGTAGTTAAATCTAAGGTAGAGTAGTAGGAACATTTTCCTAAAGAATCTAAAACGTCTTCGATTCGGGATAAAGCGTATTTGTCATCTATTGTCTTTTCGTTCAATTGGCGAAAATCGATAACCGTGCGCCATTTTTTCTTTCCTGTAGCATCCACCTTTTTCGGAACTATCCAAGCAGGGGAATCGTCAGGAAAAATGGACGGTTTAATTACACCGTCATTAAGTAATTTTTATAACCTGACTTTGAATTTCGTCTTTATGTTTTTATGGGTTACGGAAATTTTTCTGGTAAACGGGTGAATTGTCAGTTGATCTGATATGTCCTGTGTGGGCGTAGTTAATTTTTGTTGATCGTCGCCGAAAAATTGTATTAAATTCTTTACAAAGTTTTGTAATTTTGTTTTTCTCTTTATTATTCATATGATCTAATCTCAGTTGTTTAATTAGGTCGCACTTTAAATTGTCATCAGTTGGGGCTTTGTCTGAGTAAACGTATTTGTCAAGGGTATCTACATCCATAGGCTCATTGACGTGGAAAGTATTAAGACATTGCACATCTGCAAAACCGTTATATACATTGCAGATACCAGATACAATTTGTTCGTGGTCAAGACTAATACAAGATCCTTTGTATAAATTAACTGGTGTTTTACAAGTAATATTTATTAAAATTTTATCTCTGGTCTAGTGAAAATGAATTTTGTGTTCGGTATGTTCTGTAGTCAATGTGTTGTTAGAATAATTTATAATTGCATTCATTTTAGTCAAGTCTAAAGTTGTATAAAAATCAAAAACTGAAAATCCAATGTATGTTGGTTCATCAAATTCGTGTAACAAAGGAATATATATTTTGTATTGTCCGTGGGCCGTTTTAACTTCAAAGGGTTCTTGAGATAATCAGAAATATATTTAAAATCTAGATACAAGTATAAAGCGCCACTATCAATTAAAATTTTGCAGTCGTATTCATTGCAGTAAATGTAAGGTAGTCTAAGTGTTTTAACTAAAGCATTATTGATTTCTTCCAAATCTATGTGATTTTGTATTTCGAAGCCTGTGTATGAAAATTTTCATTTTTGTTAATGCTATGTTCGTCTAATTGTAAGTCAGTAAAGTCGTCAGGTTCGTAGCAGGTATCGGTATCAAGAGATTGGACGGGTAAATAAACGTTTCCGGATTCGTCAAAACATACGGGTCTTGTTCAACATTTGTTAGTTCTTCAATTAGAAAATTAGGTCGTTCCCGATTTTAGAAATAGTTAGGTTTTTGATTTTGAGAATTATTTGGTCGTCTAAATTGGGAAATAGTTCTCATAGAAACGTCGCTAGTGTTTGAAGGTCTTTGATAATTATTTCGAGTATTCCTGTGTTGTTATTGGAATACCGGGTGAGGCTTAGGGGCAATGATAGATCTGAAGAAAGCATTTCTATTTAACAAAGGAAATTGTTGTCTAGGAATTTGTTGAAAGGTTTGAGGGTTAGTAAAGGGTTATTTTTGCATTGGACCGAAATTGTGTCGAGGTGCAAAGTAATTTGTCTGTGGATGTTGTTTCTGTGTAGGAGTGTTGTGTGGGTGTGGCTTTTTGGAAGTACCTGCCATTTGCCTATATTTCCAATTTCGTGTTTTCATTGTCTAATTCTTTACAATAATTAAGTGCCTCAGAAAAGTAATGTGGTCATCTTATTTTTAAATCTGAATAATAGGGTTCACCTACAGATCATATAAAAATACTAAGTGCTTCCTTCTTATAATAACTCATCAATGCGTTCTAGATAGGATCATCTACAAAAATGCCTGCCAATGTTGTTAGAATGACTTGAATTATGTCATAAAAATCTTCTTCTGATTCATTAGGTTTTCTAACGCACGACATTAATTGGTTAAATAACAAATACTCATTTTCCGGAGATTTGAATTTTGTCGTTATTAAGGCTTTTGGATTTGACCAAGGCCTTTCTACTAAATACACAGATTCTGCTAAATTTTAAATTTCTGCAGGCTGAAATTGTGGTAAAGACATTTGCGTCACAATTATCACAATCCGAAATGAAATCTTTCTTCTTTTTCCTCCCAATACTCCTGATTCCTCAGTGGAACGTTTCGTTACGAATCTTCCAGCCGAAGGTGAAGGACTCTTCGGGTGGGCGAAGTGGTGTTCCAGGGATCGGAAGTCATTTCTAGGGGTGTTGGTTCCTGAGTGGATAGAAACGTCGCAGAAGTTAAAATTCTGAGGTGTTTGAGGTGAAATTCGTTGATTTCCACCTTCTCTATCCTGTTCCGGGCAGCACCAGTTAAAACGTACGATGTTCGAGTGGAGTTTTTAAAAACATTGTTTTAATACATTCCTTGGTTGGGTTTTCAGGAACCTTTATTACACTTGATATTTTAACTATTACACACAATAATAGCAAATAAACAACTAACATAGGTTTGACCTATAGAGCGCACTGTTAAATGAACTAGAAAATGTGTGAGCTTATATGCTATCTAGGGTTGTCATGGCCGACGTCCATAGGTAGGGGCAAAGGTCGCCGGATGTAACTGTATTGGAGTCCTCAGTTGATTGGTAATGGTCCGATGATATCAACGTGTGCGTGCTGGAAACGATATCCAGGGTGTGGCGAGTAATTTGAAAGGGTACGGTCACTGTGCACAATCCTTCTTCATGTTCTTCCAAACAAAACGCTGACGGATAAGGTCTGCTGTGGAACGTTGTCTAGGGTGAGCCTCAGAATGGATCTATTCAATTTTTGTCTCGAGCGCGCCCCTTGCGGAACCACGAACAGAGCCGAAGAGCGCCGATCGCCCGATGCTTAAGGCTCCGCAATTCAATTGTTGCGCGTTTTTTTTTTGTTTTTAACGTTAAAAAATGATCATTTTTATATCAATAAATAAAAAAATTATTGCTTTATTTAATTTTTTTATTTTCCTTTTTGTGTTCTACCATTTCCACGAAATGTGGAATGAATTAAAAGGTTTGTTGACAAATATTTGTCGACAAAAATGTGTCGACGAAAAACGCTCGAGCGCTTTTCGCTCGTCGAAGAAATGATCGCGGCAACAGTCAATTGTTGGCGCAATATACTTTTACAATAAATATATTGTTATTATCTTTTCCTCACCGCTTATTGAAGTAAATAATGAAGCGCGTTTTATCCCCATAGGCCTAATCCACTCTCTGAAACAAATTTATAAAATTAATAAAACTGATATGAAGTCAAGGTATCTGCGCGCGATGTCGAAAAAGCATAAGAACTGCACGAGTATGTTCTTGTATTATCAGCACTGTTGTGAGCAGACTTTAAATACCTGCTCAATTTTTTTTTTTATTAAATGTAAAAGTTTTATCACAAATTGAGCAACAAAACATTTTTATTGGTGTTCGAAGTCGATAAAGTAATACAATAAAAACGACAATATGTATGATATAATGACAATATGTATGATGTATGATCGGCGCTCTTCGGCTCTGTTCGTGGCTCAGCACGGGGCGCGCTCGAGACACAAGTATCTTTTCAAATACGGTCCGTCAAAAAGGACGTTCCCTTTCCTTTTTGACGGACCGTATTTGGGCGTATTTTATTCCCTTTGACATCGCAAAGCATGGCTCCATCGGCTAGCGGTAATTTGACGCGTTGGATCGTTGTTTATTGATCCACATATTAGTGGAGTACTGACCCATGATGTCTCTGCTGGCGAGATGAGCTTTTATTTGGTCGCTTTGAAAATACGTAGGTTAAGGGTTTGTGTCCAGTGAATACAATAAGAACGTGTCCTTCTAGGAAGTATTGGACGCTAGAGATAGTCTGTAGTTCACGGTAATATGTGAAATATTTCTTTTCAGGGTCAGATAATTGCTTAGAGGGGAATCGTGGATTGCTAAAGGACTACACACATATCTGAATGGGATACATATGGGAGAAGTCCTATAAGTTTGTTTGAAACCGAATAAACATTATGTAGCTTCAGGGGGGCTGTTTTTTTTTAGAGTCCTTTGAGTAATTCGTTTAGCGGGGCTTTTATGTAAGCCACTTATAGATGTTAATAATGTCCAGAAAACGGCGGAGTTCAGTGATATTAGAAATTACAATTTTGAAATGGTGTGGATTCTATCTGGCAATGACTTTGAACCGCTGCTATCGTACAAATCGCCGAGGAATGATATTGAAGGTTTGCCAAATTTGCATTTAGATGTGTTAACTGTTACGTCGTACCTGTTCTGTGAAGGTAAATATTTTGTTCACTGAAACTCTTGTTTATGTGCCCTTTCCGATGATATATAGAGAATGCGGTAGGTTTGTAACACTCACTATTCTAGAATTACTTTTAGTTTATTTCTGATTTGCTCGACATATTTTTCCATTTAGATATTTACTTTTACAGTAATTTATGTGTTAATCGAAGAGCTTTCGTTAATATTTTCTATCTAACTATTTATCTTAATTTTTTTATTTTAAGAAGCTTATTGTGAAAGCGTAGGTACTCTTTGTGGAAAAATACCAAAACATTTCCTTTTACTTAATGTCAGGCCCTTAGTCCCCCTTTCCCCATATCAGCTTTAGTTGAATCCTTCTACCGGTGTTATTAATGAGAGAAAAATGGACTTCCTTCACAATGTCGTGTAAAAACGTCTGTAGGTATTATTGCTTGAGAAGCTCGACGAGCATTCGGTGAACGGGCTACAACAAAAAGCCATAGGGTTCATAAAAGTAATACTAATCCTTATTTCTGTGTTCACTGAACTTTCGCAGGAAGGAAAAAATTACCTCTACAGCGTCTTCAAGAAATCGTGTTTTTAGTTAATATTTCTAGCCAAATACTCTATAGTACATAAACAATTTAGTACTGCACATAATGTTTAGACTAAATAAATTAAATAAGTACATTACAGGCAGCACTATGTAAATGTAAAAACACAAAACAAAAAAGAAAATGTAGGTTACTTAAACATTAGCAGGTAAATGTGCATCATCTGGATTTTATTAAAGCAAATTTTCACACCACTATTGAGGTACTACCAAGGCGCCGTACCGTTTTTTGCGGGTGGTTCTAAGTAAACTTACCAAAAAAGGTAAATAAGTCTTCAAAAATTTCACATCAAATATTTACAGCAAACAATTCTTGAAATCGCAAAGGATGTACCACATGCGAATTTGCGTCGCATCAGTAGGTACTGATTATTGCAAAAAATTGAAAATATCCCGCATGAAGCAAATTTGTCAGTGAACAACATCCTATTAAAAAAAATACGCTATACAACACGCAATTCTCTTGAAACCACCGACACAAATCCACTCACGGCTGAAAATCCATTTCAAAATAGGCTTGCATTCCCTGCAAATGATAATGATGAAATGGATGTTCCATTGAAATTTGTCACACTGCCATATTAAAGGAGCCAGCGTTCCCTGCTATTTCGCGTAGACTATTTTGAAGATATCAAGGATTTTGTCCCTATAGTGACGATATGGTTTCAATCCGTAAGTAAGTGACATGGCACGTTATTGTAACAACTGTTCTACAGTGCCAAATAGCTCACTGTAATGGTTGATGTTTTATTTCTGAACTAGTTTATTGAACTACACATCACTTGCCTCATACAAGGTTTAAACTTTAAAAGAATAAATGTTACTAGAGGTTGGCCATTAACCTAAACACGTTGCCGGTCGTATTTCTTTACCAGGGCCAGAATTAAATTTACCTATACTTTCAACTACATTTTTCTCGAAAACTGTGAATTTTCAGGCATAAAAATTAACTTAACTTTATTGTTTTATGGTGCTTTATCACCTCCTGCCAGCTCCGCACTTATTTCTGTTACACTGTATAATATAATGTAACAACAAAACCTGAAGCAAAAATGACAACAAAAACAGTTGAGAAGAACAGTAATGCAGTAATGTAAGATAAAGACAATCTAATAAATATATCACAAAATTTGCATTTGATGTGTATATGTTAAATGCTCAAATGATAAAATTGTCTTTTTAAAAAATTGAACATTTATTGTTTTACGATGCACAAAATGTACAAAGTCTAGTCTGAAGCTAGAGTGTCTTAACAATGACACTACAATATTTATAAGCTCGGTTTTACTTCTTTAACATCTAACATATATACCCCAGTTCTAATTTTATTCGGCAGCGTAATTAGCCTAACATAATACTATTTCCGATATTTCTCTCGTGAGAGTATTAATACTAGTTCTATGAAACTTTATTCGGGCTGAAAATGCCTGCCACAGATGTAACCAAAACGACGTCCTAATGACAACGGCCGGTAAGCTCGAGAACAAATAATAATGGTACTTAAATAGTGTTTGGTTGTGAAAATTGTCAAGTAGGTATGTGCTGTTAAGTTGCAAAATTGTTTTATTGGTAAAACATGCTAGAAATTTAGTAATTATCAATTTTGTTTAAGTCATCAAGACACATGTAGCTAGGTGGTAACGAGTCAAATCATCCAATATTATGCTTGGAACTAAAAATGCATCTGAAGAATAGATTTCAACTACCTAGGGCTCGTACTGTAAAAGAGTAATGAAGTAGATTAATACATAAGAAAACTGAAGAAGAAAGCAATTAGGGTAAGAGAAAAGGAATGGGGAATGAAAGAAAAAAATCTCAAAAAAGCCGGAATAAGAGAATGTTCCTATTCGAGACATTGGTAAAGAGCGTACTACTCTACACAGCGGAAATAGAAGAAATTGAAAGCATTCAAGACAGATACATAAGACGGATTTTAACATTATATAGAAGTACACCGAAATATCTATTACAAGAAGAAATAAAAACATGTGGCCGGGCGGATGCGTGTGTAATAAATTTTTTGAATATGTTTTCTGAATACAGGAAAAAAACGTAGATATCTACTTCTTTACAAGGAACTATCAAAAGTGTTAGAAATTATTGGCCCATTGTTTGCATAAATTAAAATTGTTGCCAAGATTTTCGATTTTATTTTAGAAGAAAACTTATGTTCTAATTGTAAGACCTGAAATTATTTATAATTAGGAACGATAGGTCTTACTTTTTATATCAATGACGTTATATTAATGAATTTTTTCCCATTTTGGTATACCCCAAGCATCGCTCTCATGACACTAATTTGACAGTTAAATAATAAGCGGTTTTTATCTATCTATCTTGTCAGTCTTATAGTTTTTCAATCAAGTTTTACAAACTTTGTATTTTATTTTAACTGTTGTACTCAATAGTCTTCCGTCAATAATAAAATACTGTTATTTTTTATGCGAATGACTTTTAAATTTTTCAAACATATTTAAATTTGTTGTTATTTTATACTACCTACGGCTGGGAAAACAACATTAACATATGGATTGGATATGTGTAAGAATTTAATTTTTGAAAGTACCTAATAATCTTCATTCACACTCCACGCTTAAATCACATAAATAAAAATATTTACTTTCTCTTCTTGAGCAAACCAGCTTATGCAAGTAGAGCATCAGGCTTGCCGTGACCTTATAATTATCTAAAAGGCGGCCAACAGCCACTCTCGTTATGCGTGGATTCGAAGAGTAAGTTGAAGGTCTTGTTGCAAAACATCTAAATTTTTAATATAGGTTTGCAAACTTTTGTTAACTTGTTACAAGAACAAAATCAAAATAATAATTAGTTTTAAGAGTCGTCTTTATTTATTCTCATATATATTGTTAAGGGAAATTGAAAATATTTTTTGATAAAAGGAAAGCAGTTGTGTGATCGCTCGTACATTACAGCATTCTTGAGGATTATTGCGAAACCATATAAAAAGAAAATGACATCTATTTTGTTACATAAAAACTACATCGTTACGTTAAAATGATATTCGGATATTTAAGATGTAACCTCTACCATAGTTTAGAATGGCGCGCTCATTAAGGTAAGACACACGTGTTAACGAATTCGTTGAAATTCCAAGGATAATACAAGACGTGTATGGATATCTATATTAATGGATTCCATACAGTCTATACCCATTTCTGTACAGAATCACAATTAGTTAAAACATGTTGCTTTAAGCATCAACTCATCTTATTTATTATTTTAAATTCTATTGCATATAAGTTAAACAATCCTATATATTAAAATGAAAACAATTTTGATCTGTAAGTGTCTTATAGATGTATTTTCTGCAGTAGTTGGTCAGGATTATAATTCATCTAATGTGAACGTTTACGATTTTATAGTAGTGGGGGCTGGTTCGGGTGGTTCAGTTGTTGCTAATCGATTAAGTGAAAATGCAGGGTGGAAAATACTGTTAGTGGAAGCTGGAGAAGAAGAAAATTTTTTTACGGATATACCTCTTATGGCTGCATTTCAATCAGTAACAAGATTCAATTGGGGATACCGCAGTGAAAGGCTAGAGACCGCTTGTTTAGGACTTAAATTTAAAAAATGTAACATACCACGTGGGAAAGGTGTTGGAGGTACTTCCATAATAAATTTTCTATTATATTCTCGTGGAAACAAGAAGGATTTCGACGAATGGGATAGATTAGGGAACAAGGGTTGGAACTATTCTTCTGTACTTCCATATTTTATTAAATCTGAAAAGTGTTCAAAAGAAATTGCTGCTGACTTGAAATATCGTGGTGCGAATGGGTTTCTCGATGTGGAATATCCACCATTTGAAACCGTTTTGGTAAAGAACTTCCTTAAAGCAGGAAAAGAAATGGGCTATAAGATAGGCGATCCTAATGGACAGTATCATGTCGGATTTTCAAAAGTTCAAGCAACAATGCACCAGGGAAGAAGATGCAGTGTCGCCAAAGCCTACCTTTCTAATATAAGAGACCGATCCAATTTAAAAATATTAATAAAAACTCAGGTTAAAAAATTAATAATTGATCCCATTCAAAAGAAAGTTATAGGAGTTGAATTTATGAACAGTGATGTTAAAAATGCGTATGCCTCTAAAGAGGTAATAGTATCGGCTGGTGCTATTAATAGTCCCCATTTGCTTATGGTCTCAGGAATAGGTCCTAGAAAAGATCTGGAACAGGTCAACATTCCTGTAGTAAACGACCTAAAGGTAGGCTACAACTTACAAGACCATCTCACATTTGGGGCTCTTGTGTTTCTGTTAAATTCATCCGTAAGTGTATCTGATCAAAATGTTCAAAATCCAGCTGACATTCTCAATTATGTTCTATACGGTAAAGGACCATTTGTTATTCCTGGAGGTGCTGAAGCACTAGCTTTCTTGAAAACGAAATATAGCATAAATAAAACTGATGATTATCCTGACATTGAATTGGTTTTGGGAGCTGGTGGATTAAACGGTGATACTTACGGAAGTCTCAGAAATTTACTAGGAATTCCTAATTCCCTTTACAATTTTATGTATCGCCCCTTCCGTTATACACCAGGTTTTGGAATAGCCCCTGTTCTTATGAGACCCAAAAGTGTGGGGAGAGTTTTATTGGATAATGTTCACCTATATGACAAACCTATTATTCAGCCAAATTATTTGAGTCATAGGAGCGATGTGTTAACAATGGTGGAAGGAATCAGAATGGTAAGAATGTTAATTTTTTGTTTTAATTCTCCTACAATTTTAATTGGTTTTTATTTGACCGACCACTATTTTAATTCCTTTTAGTCAGGAGCCTTTGGAGGTTAGTATTTGGGTATTAAGTATCAGTATTTAAATATAAATGATGAGTACTTAAGTTCATATGGTCAGTATCCTTATTAATTAAAAATAAGGCCTGTATTTTTTATTAACTGACTATGTAATAAATATAAGTGGTCAGTGCTTAAACCTAAGAGGCCACCATTTACATACAAGTGATCTAACTAACATTACCTAACATAAACCATTCTAATATTACATACAACTTTGATATTATAGTTATAAAATACGGACGTACATTGTAACCTCCCAATCTTACATTTGCATATAAACGTATACAGTGTTCTTGTTCAGTTACTTTTAAATTTTAGTAATGCAATGCTGAAATTTTTTTAATATGAAGAATATCTACTATTTCAAATGTTTAAGAAGGGTCTTACGAAAGCATCTGTTTATCGAGCTGATTATTTAAAACACAGCTTGTATGCGTGGTAAGCACATAAATACAAAATTAATAAATAACCTAATGTTAATAATTAATAACGTAACCACAGAAAGAACGTTAATTCGCATGTGTAGGTCTACCTATATTAAATGCCTTACCCATGAATCAAACAATTCATATAAATTATTTGTAGCAATACTAACAATGAATTCTGTTAACTAAATTTCAAAATTCAAACAAAATTGAACTTTACAGTCTTTCTTAAAAACATTCAATGACAAAAATATAGCTGCTCACTGCTGCGTTATAGAAATTTTAGAATATTTAAAATGAGTTCTGGTTACTTATCCAAAATAGTTCCGATTTGTGCTTTAAGTTTTTAGAACAAATCCAGCACTTTTGATATGTAGGGCTGTACTATTCTTACTGGGATCTTTGCGGTAATTTATTGCAGCATATATATGCTTGTTTCGGACTTGCTTTCGTACACTTTTTCCAGGCTATCCGACATTTCTGTCAATTCTTTGAAATTATTTGGTTCATGCAGTTTCACATAGCATACTGTTTGGAATTTTTCCGCTACATTGGTATCCTTGATAAACAAGATTAATTGGCAAAAAATCGGGATTATTCCAATAAACTTTCACAAACACCCACTGTGTAGACATGGTCAAATTTTGGATTATACGTTTAAATGAACATTTAAATAGAAACATAAGTTCACATTATTATTATTTTTTATTATTTGTTTTACGTGAAGGCAAAATATTTAATATCTTTTCATTTTTATAACTCCAGTCTGGTATTTTCAGTAGCTATGCCTAAGAAACCTAAAATTACTAGGTTTGTAAGCTTTCAACTGGAGTTGTTGATTTTACCTTGTATGGAAGTTAATATCCGTTTAGATACCAACTAAAGAATTGACAACCCGTCGTTATAGCTGAACTTGGTCCCATTTATCACATAAGTTTTGCTTTAGACGGAGTTTACAGGTTGGTGAGTCTTAACACAGCTAATTACGCTTCAAAGGACGCAATTCAATTACACTTTGTATGGCACTTGACATCCCTTTAGATCTCAATTCTAACATCGGCAAAGTTGAAAACCCTAAACGTCATTTGTATCAAACTAGGTTCTATTTTTCACATTTATGTTTTTATTTAGATTGTATGTACAAGAAAGGAAATATGCACTTGGTGGAAGATCTGATTATCTTAAGTAATATTTAAAAATTTTGTCTTCCAAATTTAGAACGAAGTACATAAATTAAAATTATTTGGGTATTGTCATTATTAAAATTTTAAAGTGTGCTACTTATCAAAACTGACCAGTCACAGTACCTAAAAATGTTTAGAAATAATTAATAATGATTTACTTAATACTAATTGGATTCAGTTATACAAATTAAATAACATAGAATGAAGCTGTTGAAGGAAATGTACTTGTTATTAGAGATGTTATTCTCAAACATCCATTTCATACGGAGTTGAGATGTTTAATATATACAAAAAGGAAAGCTCATAGTTTACATAAAAGTAGTAGCAATTATTTTGACTGTTACATTGTGCAGTATGACATGAATGCAGAGAAATAAGTAACAAATGCTATAGAGATTATTTTACTGATGTAGAAAATAACATAGCTACTGAACCAAATTATTTCTGAATGCTTGTGAATAATATGATAACAGAAGAACACAGTAGTCCAAATTCATTTTACTACTTGGGTAAGGAAGCTGAAAAGGAAGAGGAAGAATGCAACCTGTTTGCATCCATGTTTAATAGTGTTTATCAAAATAGAAGAGCAATTATCATCAAATATTGGGATAAAATAAGACAGAATTTGGCTACCGGTATGGTGAATATTCAATTGAACAATATTCAATTTACTTATGAGGATATTCTGATAGGATGATCGATGACCGAATCCAAATAAAGGAGCTGCTTCTGATGGGTTACCTGATCTATTTCTGAGGGAATATGGACTGAGACTATGTGAACCATTAACTTTTTTCTTCTTCTATAAATGGGTGTTTTTTCTTTACATTGGAAACGATCATTTGTTATTCCCTCTTATAAATAGGAGGTCAAAAAGCTTGCTATAAATTATAGAATGGTGTACATACAATCATCACTTCCTAAATTCTTTTGAGGTTCTACTATTACCGACATTGAATGTCACGTTTAAAAACATAATCACGTACCATCAACACGTATTTGTAGAAGGAGAGTTTGCAATTACTAATTTAGTGTGTTATCGTATAAAACTTGCTACGGAAAAATTTAGAAAAAGATGTTTACGGTACTTATACGGATAATACTAAAACTAAAACTAAAAAGGCCATAATGTTTTATTGTATAAGTCACAATTGTTAGATATAGTGTGAGTCTTCTTAACTGGTTCAATTCTTATGTAATAAACTGATCTTTAATACTGAAATGGAACCGGTCCTGTTCGGAAGTATTTATTACTTTGAAATTGATTTTAATATTCTTGTTAATGTAGTGGCTGTAAATGTAGGTGTGAATTTTATTATATTCCGATGATCCAAAATTATCATTTAATTATAAAGTACTAAATAATAGTAGAGATTATAATATTCTTCAAATTGATCTGGACGAACTAAATGATAAGTGCCTCATAATTAGACTTAGATTTTAATTACGCCAGAACTCATCAAAATAAATCGACTAACTAGAAATTTTGACAGTAGGTAGGGAATAGTCCGAGGATCAAAATCTATGTTATACCAAAGGGGAAGATTGATCTGGGTGATGGAAATTTTTTATTATGTAGTTTGACCGCAGGAATCGATAAAGAAATTAATTCTACACTAGAAAATTTCTAAACAATTATTTGTAAATTAATACTTTTCGAGTTATTCGCGACCGAAGGTATCAGTTTTTCATAGAAATGATCAATGTTTTTAATTGATTATTCGCAAATAATTTGAAGAGTATGCATATTATAAAAAACACTTTATAAAACATGATTGTAGCTTAAAAAAATGGAAATAACGGGAAAACTATTCATTTTTCGAGAAAAACTTAAACCTTTTTTAAGGTATTTTTTCTTTTCTTTTTCAAAAAAAGTCTAGCATAAAAAAGTTGTGATGAAGATAAGGTCGATCTCTACTTTTTTACCTTATTTGAGCTCTTTAAGCTCACCCCCTTTTATGACTAAAAGTTTAAAAGGGATTTAATGTAAATAGTCTTATAAACATACAAATTTTATTCACCTTAAGTTTTAATATACATACAGTTTTATAGGTTTTGGCAAAAGGAGTAATTTTCACCCCTAAAAAATGTAGAGATCCTATCGGCATGATACAGGTTTTGATGTGGAAGGTAGGCCGAGTTTAATCCCAAATGCTTGAGGCATAGAGCTAATTTCAATTATATGGCCACAGTAAGCATACTATTCAAAGTCTTGACCAGATCTAGGCTTGAATATTGAAGTATAATTGAAAATTCATTATCAAAAAATATAATTTGATTACTCTTGAATGGAACTTCACACTCTCATTCAGATCTCAGTTCCTTTATAGGCAAAGCAACAATGCCGTTAAACCCCAACGTCTTTTGTGCTGAACTTGGGTCCATTCTTCACATTAGGCATCAAACCACAACAATTATCTTCTTTCACATTAAATTTATAGCGTGACAAGTTTCAATGTCAATAAATTTTGTTTACAAATAAAAAATATTATTTTTCTGTATATATATATCGTATAACACCTGGAACTAATTGTACCAATAATTTATCGTGTGTATTAGTTTTCAGATTTTTTCCTTTGTATTCACAGAATGATTTACCTTGATGTCAATTTTTAAGTTTCCAGATCGTTTAGAAGTAGTCTAAAAATTTAATTAGTACTTATGTGAGTGATACAAGTATAGTACTTTCCGGCCTGAATAACTCCAGAAGTATTATGGAATTTAGAAAGTTTGTATGTCCTCCGTATTTCTAACCCAATTGTAACTTGTTTTCCTCCACGGGCGACTCTTTTATACTTGTGTGCAAGTTTCGTCTTTATTGCGCCGAGCATCTTTGTGTTACTCATTTTTATAGTTTTCCATTTTTTTTGCGTTGCCATTTTACGGAAGATTTTTATCCTGGTTAAGCTTCTTTTTTTACCTTTCCTTATATAAATACATTTTATCCATGTACATTTCCTATAAGAATGTAACAGAAACAAGTGCTGACCTTGCAGTAGGTATAGAGCACTATAAAACAAGAAAATTAAGTAAATGTTGAAAGTGCAGGTAAATTCAATTCCGGTCCTGTATATCAATTGGACAATACAACATCGCTTTCAATCAGCAGGGAATTAGCAGTATCGGTGTTGTTTTTCTTTTGTGCTTTTTTTGCTCATGGATTGTTTGTTATTTGTCACTTTAGATTAAGTGTGATTCGAGACGTTACGGTCCGCCGGTAAAAGCTGCTTGTCCTTTTAACGCTGTCAAACGCTCGTTCTCAATTAGGTTAGTGTGTCACTCATTATTACAATAACGTTTAGTACGGCAGAATTTTGTGATATGATCCTGATGGACAGCGACTGTAAATACAACATTAATGCAATAATTGAGTTGTACAGCTATTA